CACAACCAATCACTCATCTAGAATTCTTAGAAATATTTCTGCTGGCCATTTTTGTGTCCCAATGGCCCAATCCACTGTTAAAAGCCCGCTAAAGAATAGCCCAAGCTTGATGCTATATGTGAAATCATCATTTCTTTGAATTGAAATCTTCAGCCCAATTGGTCTACAGCAGTGAATCATAAACGAGACTTAAAATTGTTACGTCATTCAAGATTCACCTTTGATCATCGATGACGATATCGCCAATAATCATCTAGGATATTTTGGTCATTGACCACCTTGCTGTGCGTGGCGCTATGGGCTACATGCCATTGCAACGCAAAAAATAAATTTAGAATTAATTTTTTTCCGTAAAAATTATATATTAGTTGATCATCTCGACTTGACCTATCTTTTGACAGACTAACAAATTGAGATGTTCGACCATCGTTGACCTCTATGTAACTTGTTGTGTCAGTCCAAACTCACTCGATAGACTACTTGTGCAAACGGCCTAGAACACAATCGAATCTACCCATTTATGCGTATCTTTCTCAAACTAGACCATCGTCACTCATCCAAAATCTACACTTCCCTCATTGAATCGTGTATGTAACTAGTGTAAGTATTATACCCTAGGTCCAATCAACTTTTGACATAAATACTTTTGATATATAGTTAATGCAATTTAATGACAGATCTATTATTTAATTAATAAAGAATTAAATAAATAATAGAGTCCGTAAATTCAAATTTTCGTAATCTGTTAATCATAAGGAGTTGTGGTTATGAGATACAAATTACATCTGATTGAATCTTAAATCTTCCGTGGTCGTAAGTAATAACGAGATACGGATATCGTTATTACGGATAGACCATCACGTGTGGCATTTCTTACTTGTGAAGTAAGTAGCTGATCTCATAAACTAAAATGTGGTGACACTTAAATGAACACGTGGATATTTTGTTATAAAACAAAACATTGGAGACCCGTCGAGAGATTCCATATGGATAACTATCTGAGTGTCAGTGGTTAATCTCTAACGTTCGGTAGTGAAATTGGTCCTTTGACTTGAGGTCGGCATGGTACCTTATATGAGGACAGTCGTACTTTGGCGATATTGGATGTTGCTCTGCAAAGGGCAGCTAATACGACATAGTTCGGGTACGTCAAGAATCGTACGAAAGTTGTGATTGACCAATAAATGATTCGTCGCTTTTAGATAGTAGGAGATTATGATATGCGTTTCATTCAATTAAGTCGATAACAAAATCCTTGGTCAAGGTGTACTCATAAGTCGAAAATGAGTTTTCGACTTATACTGACTTAATAGTAGAGTGAAAGATATGATCAATAATCGAGATTGACACACTTCCATATCTCATAATTGATCGGATTATATTGACGAAGGGATTATAGTTTCACGGTAAACGAACGAGTTTGGTTTTATCATACCACGTGACATTTTCCGTCACATGTATTGCCATGACACATTGCTAAATGTCAATTTGGGACGGCGAGTGTGAATTGGTGATAAATTAAAAGGGTGTTTTAATTTATCAATTTTGATTAGATTAAAATAATATTTCACATCATCTGGCATCGTGATCAGAAATCTGATGGGTCGCACACAAAAGAGAATTGGAAGATTGCAATTTTTCAATTAATTAATTTAACAATCGTTGGATAAATTAATTAATTTGTTTGATTATTTATAAGCCCGAATTAATTAATTGGATTAATTAATTCACAAACCGAATTTAATTAAATGGATTAATTAAATATTGAATCGGATCAGACCAGACTCGTTTGGGTTTATATAAATACATGGCTAGGGTTTTCAATCTGTATGATTTTTCATAATTATTCTTGCTAGCACAAGAATAGAAAACCCTAGTAACTGAAATCTTATTTTCTGTGTGGATCACTGTTGGAGACTAGACAATTGGATAGCTGTAAATGGCGAATCAATATTGCAGGAAGGAAAAAAAAGCAAAAGGTTTGCAGAATTCTTCAAATGTACAATCTTTATCACGATTTCTATCTAAACACAAAGGAATTCTCGGTGGAAATCGAAATAATTTTAATTTTCCACTATACATGTATAAGTAGATTTCCGGGCCGATTATAGGTTGCCCCCAACAGGCTGTTGATGTGTGAAAACAAGGCGAGAAGCTTTGACATTTACGAGAACACCAAAGTGGAGTGTTCAATTTCCCAATTTCCGCCATAGACAAGCAAGTCAAAGAGTTTTTCTATTTGTACATGTACACTCCACAACTTGGACTTTCAATATTTGTTATCCTTGTAAGTTTTCGCAAGTCCCAAAACATGGCAGCTGAGAATTCTGAAAATAGTATACGCGATGAGGATCAAGAAACAAACCCGCAAGAACCATTACAAGGAACAGATGAGACAAGATATTTTAATGGGCATGAAGAAGATGAAGCTAGAGGCACATGGAGACATGCTGCTTTTCACGTCGCCACCACCATCGCCACCCCGGCCGCCTATGCTCCCCTACCTTTCGCCGTGGCCTCTCTCGGCTGGCCACTTGGTAATTGCTCACAATTTGATGATGTGTTAATCAATTTTTTCAACTGTGATTTTAAGTGTTCTGGGATGTAGGTGTTTCTAGTTTGGTGGGAGGGACAATTGCTACTTGGTATTCTAGCCTGTTGATTGCTTCTCTTTGGAGATGGGATGGGAATAAGCACACCACTTATCGGCATCTTGCTCGGAGTATTTACGGTTGGTTTCACTCGACTTATCTCGTTTAAAAGTTTAAGCTGTTCAAGCTGTTCCTCGCGTAACATATTTGATTATGAAATGAATCCCTTCTTGGAATTTTACTTGACTACACTAATCTTTTCTGATATTGAAGGATCATGGGGTTACTGGTCTGTTGCATTTTTTCAGCAGGTGGCTTCTTTGGGCAATAACATTGCCATCCAAATTGCTGCTGGAACCAGCCTAAAGGTTGAAACCTAAACAACTTAATTGATTCACATCAGAAAATGAAATCAATTATAGGTCGAAATTAAGTAGAGCACATTATTTTTCTGTTTATGTCCACAGGCAGTATACAAGTACTACCATCCCAATGGTACCTTAACATTGCAGCATTTCATTATTTTCTTTGGGGCATTCGAACTTTTTCTGTCGCAACTACCGAATATCCATTCATTGAGATGGATTAATGCGATGTGTACTCTCAGCACGATAGGTTTTGCTGCTACAACCATTGGTGTAACAATTTATAATGGTAAGTCTTTCATATGGAGTTCTAAATTTTGTCTCCCACTTGTTATAGGATAGGCCTTTCTTACTTTGAAGAAATCCAAGAGGCATAATAACTGTCTTGTGGTGAGGCTTTGGGATTGTTTGAGCAAACCAATCTTGAAATTCGCATGCTCATTTTTTGAGTCTTAATTGAATCAAATTGCTCGTTAGAGCTTAATGGACTATGATACCATGTTATGATTTGAGGTTTTATCTTAAAAGGTCAAACCCTTATTCCTTAACAAGTTCAATGTCCTCCTTCGAACTCTCATATTCTCCTTAGCGAAGTTCTTCTTTTCTTCACCCACGGACTGAATCATGTAAAATCCTTGTGACTTAAAATTGCACATCGGATCATCCAAGTATCCAACTAGGATTCAAAAAGTGACGAATCATCAACATTTTGTAGGGAGAACAATGGATCGAAATTCTGTTAGTTACAGTCTACAAGGTAGCTCATCTGCTAAAGTGTTTAAAGCCTTCAATGCTCTTGGTGCGATTGCCTTTTCATTTGGAGATGCAATGCTTCCAGAAATACAAGTAAAACAATTTATCCTTGAATCAAGAGAAATTGATACTGCAATTTTCATGAATACTTGGAACATTTTTGAATTATTTTTTCTGCTTATTTTGCTAGAGTACAGTGAGGAAGCCTGTAAGAAAGAATATGTACAAGGGTGTATCAGCAGCATACACTGTCATTGTTTTAAGTTACTGGCAATTAGCCTTCTGTGGCTATTGGGCGTTCGGTTCAGAAGTCGAGCCTTATATTGTAGCTTCTCTTACGACGCCTAGATGGACAACTGTTATGGCAAATCTTTTCGCAGTAATTCAAATATCCGGTTGTTATCAGGTAATATTCTATGTCATTTCATACCATGACCATCAAAATTTTTGACGATTAAATTAGACCTAAAGAGGTGTCCATTCATAGGGTTAGACGGAAACTAACATGGCATATTGTGTATGGCTTGTGCAGATATATTGTAGACCGACATATGCATATTTCGAGGGAAAAATTCTATCCAAAGAACTAAACAGCCGCCTTGTGATCGTACAATTTCTACGTCGTTTATTTTATACATCAATTTACATGGGACTTGTAACATTAGTTGCCTCGGCCATGCCTTTCTTTGGGGATTTTGTTTCGATTTGTGGAGCTATTGGTTTCACTCCATTAGACTTTGTATTCCCAGTTTTGGCACATATAAAAGCTGGGAGAATACCATCAAACACGAAACTTAGGTTTCCAGTGCTATTACTGAACATTGCGATCGCCATTTGGTTCTCAATAGTTGCAGTATTGGGCTGTATAGGTGCAGTCAGATTCATCATATTAGATACAAATACTTATAGGTTCTTTCATGATATGTAACAATTTAGGCGTTTGAAGAAAAATAGATGTATTGTAAATGTTTTATGTTTTTATACACTTTAAGCATTGTTTGGTGTGCAGTACCGAATTAGATTGGACAATAATTATCGAGATTTTAATACATTACCTTGTTTATTATGTCGAGTCCACTTGACCAAACGTAACATTAGTGTGTGTGTGGCTGCCCTTTTTCTTTTTTCTTTTTTCTTTTTTCCTTTTTTTAAATATGTAGATGTGTAAGAACATTAAAGATTTATCCAAGAAAGTTCAAAAATAGCTTTTTAATCTCAAAAGTAACTTTGACTTTTCAAAGGCCCGTCAAACGGGCACACTATCTCAATTCGAGCACCAACAAAACAGGTAGAAGTTCAGAACACACACAACAAAACTTAGAATACTTCTATTATTACATTGTCAAGGTCCAAGATTGTAGAAGAATATAGAGAGTTGAAAATGCACCTATAACAGAACAGATACAAGAACTCCAGTGCACTCATCCGTCCAAATATGAATAAAACATTACTAAAGCCTCTTTTCTAGGGAACAAATTCTCCAGCTCCTCTGTTTCTATGCAACTTATGGGAATGTGCTCAGGCCTCTAGTAGGAATAGGGTTTCAAGAAATTACAAATCTCATTACAGGCTCCCGACAGGCATACTGGGCTAGTAATTGCAATTGATACTTATAAGGGACTCTAAGAGATAAACTTTCAAGGATTGGGAATTTTGCGAGCGTAGCTTAATACCATCACAAAATCCTTTGCTGATGAACCAGTAGTGGCTGATACTCTTTCTGAAGTAGTTGTTTGAAGCCACATATCAACTAGATTATTTAGTGTCAATGTGGGGACAACCGACTGTCCCATGCATTTGATTTCAACCTACAAAGTGAAAAGCGAAAGAATCACCATCTAAGCTCATTGCTGCAAATGACTTTGCAGATGCTAATTGCTATTAAAGACCAATTAAGAATCATGAAGAAAACATATTTTCCGGCTCGGTAAGCCATTGTAGCTTCTACTACGTACAAATTTAACGTTTAGCCATTGTGGCTAATTAAATTTAACATTTGCGAAAATAGAAGCCGCTGCTTATTAATTAGAAGGGATGGGATTGCTTACCTCATCTTCACTTATAAGATCCAATTTCCTCTTCAGGTACTTACGGATCAAAGAAACTGGTATGCTCCCATCCCTGTGAAGAACGAAGCAGAAATGAACAGAAAGATGGTATTTCAGCCATAATCTGTCAGATAAAGAGTTCTTTTCTTTCTATTTCATGAACTTTAATACTGCAACATACAGAGGCATCATCAATTCATTTTGACTCATAAAACTCCATAAATGACACATTGTTGTGATCATATGACTATACTTTCCAGCTGGACCATGAAAAGGGTTGGAGAACTGCATCATATCATCGTAGTCTGGAGAACAGTTACCAGTTATGACAGGTGGAAACAGAAAAAACCAGCAGGAATAGGGTGCTATAAACTCGAAATAGTAGTAAAAATAACAAATAGAATATTTGTGAAATTCCCATGCATTCATAGTAATGAGCACCTTTCTTTCATTTGCAAATGAATACCTTCAATAAACAAAAAGGTATCATAATTTATGAAGACACGAGTCACTAAATCAAGACATTTCTGGTGGACAATAACATCACAAGATGTAAATTTCTTGATTTAAGAATGTCAATCATAACTTAGCCAGAATGAAATGAAGCAAACGAGAACTTACTTTATCCTCAAGTAACTTGCAGAAATTTGTGGTAAGTGTGCATCTCCTTCCCTAAGAAAACACATCACAGTAAATAAGCAAAAAGAAAAAAGAAAAAAGAGAGATAATATATAGAAGAGCATTCAGTCTATTCAGAAGATAAGATCCCTTTATTAGAAGTAAATGCTTACTGGTCATCAGACGCTATTAAAGAGAACCAAATTGGATTATTTCTTTTTTCACAGATAGCAAAGGCAGCATTGAGCAGGTTCTGGGGTTCTATTCTAAATTCTCCAAAATAATGTGCCTTCTTCTGCTGGATCCTACGCATTTTTTTAGGTTTTTCTGATTGCCCATGGTCACGGTCTTTGCCAATCTTGTCATGTTGAACTTTTGACTTTGTCCCTGGTTCCTTGTTTTTCGTTTTACGGACGATTCCTTTGTTATCATGGGAATGTATAGATTCCAACTTAGCAACAGATCCTTGTGGGGCCAACAGAGAAGATTTACTCCTATTTGCTGCTTCCACCAAACAATTCAAGGGCTTCCAAAGATCAACTTTCCCTTTCCATGGTTCAGAACCACTCTCTCTTCCTTCATCAGGACTAAGTCCACTAGACGTCTCAGCAGCATTAGGGTTCTGTACCAGCAACATCAGTGAGCGCGAAGAATGGTATTTGAGAAATGTGCATAAGGTGTAGACAAAAGGCAGGTGGAATCCTAAAATCAAGGCAATATATGTAACTGTCAGGTATATTTCCCTTACCAGCCTGGTATTTTGAGAAAATTTGTTTAGAGTCTCAGGTGACTTAGAGCTTTCAGGGTGGTCTTCCACTGAGTCTTCATCTTTGTCAAAAGCTTTCTTTTTCGCAAAACTGGAATTTCTTAATGCTTTTCCTGCAATAGATTTTGATCTTTTTCCTGTCATTCCACTTTGTGCTGATGCTCTAGGAGCACTGACCACCAGCGAAGAGAGTGACCTCTCCTTTCTCTTTGCAGGTAATGGAACTGAAGTCACCACTTCATGTGCGTTTACCTTTCTCTTAGAAGGAAATATCTTTGCCCTTACATCTTGCAATTTATGATCGGGCCTGATATACAAATTTCAAGTTTTATACTTATAATACAACATACACATTAATGCACTTCCACATGCTAAGACAAGCATAAACTTTTAATTGCTGATGAAGTGTGTAAACAAACAAGCTATGAACTCCTTTAAATTCAGAGCTTAATGCTACTTATAAGTACCTATGGGGTTGATAGCTGTTTAATTTATACTCGAAGTTATTAGACTATCAACAATCGAAATAAAAAGTTCAACAATACAATTCTCTTAGACAGGAATACAATAAATGAGAAAAATTGCATCCGCTTGCAAAAAATTCCAGTGCAATAGCATATATACCATTAATTCTTATATACTAATGAATAGAAGTGAATATAGACCTTGACCATTACATGTTTCGTTCTTAATATGCCTATATTAATTCTCTTAATGATCTTTTTCTTCTTTATTTTGCAGAACTACAGCACGATCAACATCCTCAAACATTTGAAATTTCCAAAGTTGAGCACAGCTAAATTTGCGCATACAATTTCTTGAAGAACTTAGTCCTGGACAATGAAGGTAATATGAGTTCAATTGTATCCCAAAAGTTTCTTCCATCTATGAAAAATAGGCTTGGTTTTGTAACTTCAACAAAGATGTGAATGAAAAATGAAACAAAGGAAAAAATAATACTCAGTTACGAGCTCCAGAATCCAGAAGGCTTTTCAACTATACGATAAATGAGTGTTTCGAAGGTATCGGAAAATGATTTTGGGCAATTCAAAGTGAATGCTCAAACCAACATTGTCCTTCAGCTGAGAGTGTGTGCGCAAGAAATAAACAGCAACAGAAAATAAGTTAGAAGTATTTGACCTCAACTTCTCCAATGGAACACATCCTAAGTGAATGTTACATATTGGACAGCATTCCATTTCCTCATCTGATAGTTTCTTATATATGCATTTCCTGCAAACTAGATAGTATCCAAAGGCAAAAATATTAGATTACTCATCCAAAAATTTAAAATGCTTGGTGAAAACATAATAATTGAATTTGTAGAAGCATTCCCGCGTAGAGGAAGTAATTGAGTATGCTTGTAGCTCTATTTCGACTCAATCATTAATATATATGGTATGCAATATTTACGATATGAAGCAGGGATAGAGTGGGATAAGTCCTGGTATCAATGCTTGTTCATCACCTGTTCGAATTTTCAAGAAAAATAAAATAAAATAAAATCCTTAGGCTAATGGATTGCTCACACACCACTTACTCGTACTGCAGTAGTCAGATAAGAAAGGTATCTCACTGAGTATACAAAATTTCCATAAATACAGAAAAAAATTCAAACTTATAAAAACACGGAAAATTAGAACGACCCATAAAAATATCTTCGATGCCCAAATCATTAACGTGCAAAATTGGCAATAATTCAAGGCCCAAACCCAGATGCCACGACACGAAAAACAGATCACAGAAGAGCACTGACCACAAGTCGGCAATGATTTATCACGAAATTCATAGCGATTATAGAATTCCAAACAATTCGAATTATAGAAATTCCAAAGAATTACACAATGACAGGAGTATACTCACATGTGTGAAGACATTCGATAATAGTGGTGGCATCGCGGAAGAGCTTGTGGCAGATTGGGCATGTCATGCATGGCGAGACCGCATCTCGCTTCACCTCCACCACTTGATTCGACATCTCAATAATTATTCAAACCACTAAAATTAACAAATCAGAAACAATCTATCCATCCACCACCGCCACCAACACGTAAATTACGAGGTGCATGCTAGCGCCACCACACGAACATGGGTTTTACGACCATTTCCCACTTTATTAATTGCATCTGCATTAAAACCATAATCCAAACCACAAGTATGGTCACGAAAGCTAAACTAAAAGGCATCAATAATAATTCATATAAGTGGATAAATTCACTAGATTTAAGAGGGGATTATTATGATGTAAACCTGCAAATCTGAGAAGGGGGATTGAGAATGGCTGATTTGGGGAAAAAGCGGATGTGTGATTCGGTGCGTAGCGTCTCGTTGATGATCTCTGCGTGAGTAGAGTTGGGTGGAATGGGGGAAGGGTTTGGGAGTCGAAATCGAGAGAGAGAGACAGAGAGAGAGCGCGCGCGAGGGAGTGGGTGAGGGTTCATTCTTTGTTCTTGCAATACAACGAGGTTTTTAGAATTTATTTTTTTTAATATTGTCTTTATTTTTTTTAATATTTTCTCTAGTAAAATAAAACCATAAAAACTTAATAGAAAACAAAATAAGAAAAGAAAATGTTGCAATTCATTTTATCGAGCCAATTTACACAACAAAAATAATTCTTAGATGTTGGGAAATGTTCTTGTCACCATTTTAAAGTGCTCCTAGCGAACTTTGTGATGCACTTTACGATTTGTAAAATGATAAACGGTAAGGTTGCTAAAATGACTTAAAAATGGTAGGTTTAATAAATCTAATTTATAGTCATTACCTATTTTAGATCATTTTCAGGGTATATATATTAACTGTTAGGATGTTGTTATCGTTTTGAAGATCTTGCAATCGAATGTACAATGAATATTTTAGAAATGAAAATCGCTAAGGACTCAAATAGATAGCCAAAGAAAAATTCTTAAAATGAATATAATTATTTGGAAAATGCCACTTTGCCCGAAAATATTTGACACCCGGAGTGACCGGCCCTCACAAAGTGCACAAGTCCCATGTGAATTAAATAATACTAGACCCTCGAGATGTGTATGTTCGGCCATCTCCTATGTTAACCATTATATTCCTCTATTTCGATCTTAATTATTTTATTATAAGTTAATGTGTTGTTTTAAATATGCAAATTTAAAGGTAAGACTCACCTTGTCCCCATTTTTGCCTTTTCATTTTTCTCACACCGTCAAAGTCATTTGTAAAAGTAAAAATTACAAGTTCATCATGTTACATCTTTGTTGGAACTGAATCAAGAATCAATATTTTTTTATAATGGAACTCAACCAAATGGTTCCTATTGGATTTGGTCGGGTGCAACCTTATAGCTTTGTATCAGCTAAGTTCTTGGATATAAGCAGACTTGAATCGTTGACATCCGCAACTCATCATGGAAGAAATGACTCACTAAATTGGGATCACTAACTAATGCTAATCTAATATAATAAAAACTACTAATATAATAGAAAAGAACTATCTTTTCTGTGTAGTTTTCCCGGTTTCATAGTCAAATTTTCTTAATTATTAAGGTAAATTATAGTACAAAGTTCTATCACGAAAGTTAACACACACACATCCAAAATCAAAACTATAAACTTCAAATGAAAAATTCCACTTTCATAAATAACATTGTCTATTGAAATTATTTATTATATTAACAAAAACACATAATTATTAAAAAATGGTTGGGTTAGAATAAATTCTTGGGTCTATGTACTAAATTAGAACAGAATCAAACTAGATCGATTTTAAGAACCATAACTATTTTAAATATAAGTATAATCGAACTAAATCAAACCGGTTCTTTTATCCATCCCTAACTTAGCCTCCCATGCCTTCTATGTCTCAAGTCATTGGAATGAAAAAAAATTCGGCTTTATGATTTAAAATGAAAGCTTTTTGGTAGAGGAAAGGATTGAAACTTCTTGTCTAGTCGTAGTTATTTTGATGGGAAAAAATAAAGTGACTTCGTTAAGTTACCCACTTCTCTTTTCCCACTATGGACATGAGAAACAACTCCAACCTGACCTTTTCATAGTCTCTCGGTTGTACACTCAACTACGTGTCCACCTTGTGGCTTAAGTAGGACTGTAGGATCTTGCCGAGATAGATTAATCCTAACTCATGTCCCATCAATCTGAACCTTACGCTGTCACCTTACCTCCCTAGAATAAGTCATGTGGTCACCAAAGATTGTTCGAGGTTAGATGGCCTTGAACCACTAGTATCTTCTAGGCCTAGGTCCTTGGCTTGGCAAGGCAAAAATGCCACAATCCTATTTTCAAAAAGCTTCTTCCGTGTCAACTCCCATCAGAGATTGAGCATATAATTGTCCTAATCCAAAGGATAATTATGAAATTTAATATTGAAAGTCGAGTTCAAACACTCAATCATACATTCAGAAGACACACAACAATATGCTCTCTCGTGTCATATTAAAACTCGACTAAAATCAATATTAGTCACACATTTTTTCTTTATTTTCATAACATCAAATACCTCATGTCTTGACATATCGACCCCTGCAAAATTTGACATGGACAACCTCTACTTATTATATCATTTTCAATCTAAATATCTTCGAGATATTCTATTTTTAAATTTTTTTTGCACAAGGTATCTGACATTATTACATCAAGTTTGCAAGAAATGTGTAAGGTATTTCATTATAACAGGAGAAAAGTACATGCAACCGAAGTTGTGAACTCGAGTTATGTTACCTGCAATGAGAAAGAAAATATAACTCTCGTCTTTGGTGATCAGGCGTGACGTCCCGAACTTAAGCTTCGAGGGTCACGTACTAAATATAATAGATTATGCCTTTGGTACATGTAAATACTCTTGAATAGAAGTATTTCATGTTAAGAACTTATTTTCAACTCGGTAAAATAATTCTTATAAAATTTGATAGCCAACAGAAGTGCATGTCGACAATAAATTATACTTTACATATACGGCCTCGGCATTATCAAGATTAGTTGAGGCAGCAAGTTTGACAATTTTTATAAAATTCATCCCAACTCCGTTTTCTATGAAATTTGTGGCATTAGAAAGATAATTTCAAGTAGTTTTCTAGGTTAAAATATGAAAATTTTCCAAGATCATATGATATAGATGTTTTACTGAAAACAGTGACGTATTACACAGGAAATCCAGATTGACCCCTTGACGTTAAAACCTTGATAACTCAGGCCATAGATATCCAAATTGAGTGATTCCTTCGGCCATATTTAGAAAACTCAAAGAGGAAAATAGACATATTTTTAGAGTTTCAAATGGACATTTATAGAGCTAGAAACATCGTTTTGAAAATGACTCCAGAAACTGTCCCGTTTCTGCCTTTTATCACTTGCAAGGAAAATAAACTATAAAAACGTCTCTTAACATAACATGAAAGATATAATTACAAAATTTACTATTAGTACCATATTACATCATGTCATGTACATATTTTTACATAGTACCATAAGAAAAATAAATGGAAAAACAGTCATCGAGCAAAACATAAAAAAGAAAAATTTCGATACAAAACATCTTTATCCTTAATCCATCATCGCTTAAGCCAACTAACTTCCATCAATCCAAACGATCATGGATCTGAAAATTTAGCATAACATACTATGAGTATAAGAAATACTCAGTAAGATACCATGCTTGGATTTTTATCATGATAATACTACACAAAAGAATGCAATCAAGCCCATACTTGCACATTCCGGCTTGCCGGTGCCCTTCGAACTTGTCCTAAGGCATAAATAGATATCTAACTTTGTGGACTTGTCCACCACAATCATATTGTGGTTTTTCATGCATAGTTTAAGCATAAATATTACCATGAAGATCAAAACTCTTAAGTATGGAAAGTATCTTACCGTAAAACTTGAAGATCTTCGGTTGAGATGTAAATTAGAAGTGCTAGTTTTACTTCCTTCCCTTTTCTTTCTTATTTTCGGTTTTTGCTCTCTTTTTTAAGTGTATAAGTGTTTGGTAAAATGAAGGAAATCTCTCTATGGCAATGGATATGGATGTATTTATATATATATAAAGATAATGATAAATGATTGATATTTTTTCCTTTTTTTGTCTCACCACCCCCTCACCCCCCTTTTCCTTCCATTTTTTTTCTTGTTCTACACATGTTTAGCCTATTGTCTAAGTGTATGGTGATGATAAATGTCAAGTGGGTTGATTATAGGGTAATAAGTGGTCTCAAACCTAGATTTGCAAAGGAAACCTCTCATCTTTTCAACTAATATAATCTAAACCCGCTAACTTTCATTGTTAACAAAGTGTACCCCAAATTTAAACTTATGCCCAACTTACATATTCAAAAATTGTAGATTGTAACATAATTTAATCATTTGGTCAATTGAAGTCCAAACAAAATAATCCACTTCATTTAAATCCAAACTTGCCTTAAGTTTCGACTAACTAATAATCACTTCATACATTTGACACTTCATGCCTACATTCCTTAACTACCTCTAGCATTAACCACTACAAAAGTGATGTTCCCTTATCCTTATGGCAAAAAATAGTATTGAAAGTTAAATCGCTATCCCAAAGAAATTTAAACGAGCATAAAATTTCGGAGTATTACATCAGGGCTCCCAAAGTATCAGAACACGGGACAAATGACAAGAATAACATCGAAATCTAATGCAAGAGAAGTATCAAGAAGTTCCCATTTTACGATACAGAGGAAGACTCGATCGGAGGCCGTCCACAGGCCAGCATGATGACTCGCAACCTATTTTAATATTTGAGTGGCAAAAATAAATAATAATAATAATAAAATAAAGAAGACTTTTGACAGAGAGCTTGAAACTTACACTACAAGGCAAAGGGTGTGAGAATTCAATGCCCTCGAGAGGGAAACTGGTGTTGGGAATTTATTTTAATTTGTCTATAAGATCATTTTTCAGAGAAAAATAACTTGATAAAAATATAAAATATGGAGAAAGATTTATGGTAAAATACAGTAATATATATGCTATTCAAAAATATTACTTTTTAATGGAAAACAAAAATTTTCCAATAGTGCTTTACAAGTAACGTAGTAATAGATATGTTATCCTAACATGTAACTCGTAAAAAATGTTGATTTTTAATGAAAATGAAAATATTAATTTTAAATGATGAGGGATATATTCATAAGATTACAAAGGAGGTAAATGCAGAATATTAATTGTGTATCTTTAGCCTCCATTTCATACAATTATTCTGAGATTATATGTTTGCTTGACTTTATTTTTTATCAAACATTTCATTGAATTCATAATTTTCATTTACTTTTTAAACTACACATTTCACGACATTAACATTTTATAATCTCAAAAAAGCTGGACCAAACACGGCTTAGTATAATTCATTATCAATTTGCCTCGAAAAGAGTAGGGTAGAAATCGAAAAAGCGAACATTATCGTCATCGAGAATATTATTTTGCTTTTAT